GCACTGTCTCTCATTTTCCATATTAAATAGTTTTCTACCTTTCCTTGTCTCTCCTTCTTGATCTACAAATCTTCCTAAATTTCAGCTTTTGCTCCTCATATTTAGTTTTAAATCCTCTTTTCTTCCCTAGTTGTGATGCTTGTTGGAAACTATCCCGTCATGGTTCAAGTGTAGTCAGTCCCAACTGTATAGTCCCGATTTTCCTTAGTACTGGTGCCAGTGCCCCATGAACTGAAGACCACTTTTACTTCAGCAGGCTTTGAGCCACCCATTCATTTTTCTAATCTTACTTACCTTGTACTAATTGGCATGTGGCTTAGGTAATTATGATTACCTTTGATATTTTGCTTCGTAATTTAGTGCCTTGCTCCTCATACTGACCATGAAGGACGTCTTTCCTTATTCCATGTTTATCAAGAGCCTTTTTAGCCAAAACTTAATTCTGGTGGAGATGATGGAGTTCAGCTGTGTCACTATTTCACTTAAATACATGCCCTTCCCATCTCATCACTAGAGATTGCAGGTAGTTCGGTCCTGTGTCAATTTATAAAGCTAAGGACCCTGAGCCCCCCTCAAGTTGTCCTGACACTGTCAAAGACTTGTCCATTTCAACTCCGTTCTGGGGAATAAAAATAAAAATATAAAATTCATATATGCATACATACATGTATACTTAGATAATGTATTTATTTTATTTGCCCATTGTTTAATATATTTACAGTTTTGGTTACAGGTTGAAATACTGTCTGAGATTGAGATTCTAACCATTTTTTGAGATCCTAGTGAGATGCTGTGGGTGTAACAGATAGATACAGTTAGCTGAGGTGACTCACAGACTTGACATTGTTTCTTGTCCCAGTCTTGCTTATGAAAAGCTACTCTGGCTGCTGAGTGAAGACAACCTCCAAATCTCATTTATGATCTCAAATCACTAATGAGAGTTCATGTGGACCAAAGGCAAGAACAGGTAGAAGAAATCTAAATATTAACTATTGTTGCAAGTTTATTGAGTAATAAACAGAAATATTACCAGTTCATAATGCACTGAATACACATTTATATAAAATGTTTGACATATTGTTACTAATATCTGTTACAAAGTTCTGTGGAATGTTTAGCATTAGCATAACTAATGAGTCAGCAATCCCAAGAAAAGTTATATACCACATGACTATAAATATGGTGGTTTTAAAAGCTCTAATACCCCTTGCTTGTAGACTGTAGAGACATTGCCATTGTCTTTGTGCAAGAAAGTACTAACATTTGTATTTGTATTTGTGTAGCACCTTTAACATAGTAAGGAGCCTCAAAGCATTTTACAGCAGTGTTCTTAAACCAATTTGACACTGGGAAATATCAAGCTTACCAACCAAAAGCTTAGAAAGAGATTATTTCAGGAAGGAGTGGGGAGAGGTAGATGAGTTGATCAAGGAAAACCCTAAAGCTTTCTATAGGTATGTCAGGAATAAAAGAATGACTAGAATAAGATTAGGGCCAGTCAAGGACAGTAGTGGGAAGTTGTGCGTGGAGTCTGAAGAGATAGGAAAAGCGCTAAATGAATATTTTTCGTCAGTATTCACACAGGAAAAAGACCATGTAGTCGAGGAGAATACTGAGATACAGGCTATTAGACTAGAAGGGATTGGGGTTCATAAGGAGGAGGTGTTAGCAATTCTGGAAGGTGTGAAAATAGATAAGTCCCCTGGGCCTGATGGGGTTTATCCTAGGATTCTCTGGGACGCTAGAGAGGAGATTGCAGAGCCTTTGGCTTTGATCTTTATGTCGTCATTGTCTACAGGAATAGTGCCAGAAGACTGGAGACTAGCAAATGTTGTCCCCTTGTTCAAGAAGGGGAGTAGAGACAACCCTGGTAATTATAGACCAGTGAGCCTTACTTCGGTTGTGGGTAAAGTGTTGGAAAGGATTATAAGAGATAGGATTTATAATCATCTAGAAAGGAATAATTTGATTAGGAATAGTCAACATGATTTTGTGAAGGGTAGGTCATGCCTCACAAACCTTACTGAGTTCTTCGAGAAGGTGACCAAACAGATGGATGAGGGTAAAGCGGTTGATGTAGTGTATTTGGATTTCAGTAAAGCGTTTGATAAGATTCCCCATGGTAGGCTATTGCAGAAAATACGGAGGCATGGGATTGAGGGTGATTTAGCGGTTTGGATCAGAAATTGGCTAGCTGTAAGAAGACAGAGGGTGGTGGTTGATGGGAAATATTCATCCTGGAGTTCAGTTACTAGTGGTGTACCTCAAGGATCTGTTTTGGGGCCACTGCTGTTTGTCATTTTTATAAATGACCTGGATGAGGGCGTAGAAGGATGGGTTAGTAAATTTGCAGATGACACCAAAGTCGGTGGAGTTGTGGATAGTGCGGAAGGATGTTGCAGGTTACAGAGGGATATAGATAAGCTGCAGTGCTGGGCTGAGAGGTGGCAAATGGAGTCTAATGCGGAAAAGTGTGAGGTGATTCACTTTGGAAGGAGTAACAGGAATACAGAGTACTGGGCTAATGGTAAGATTCTTGGTAGTGTGGATGAGCAGAGAGATCTCGGTGTCCATGTGCATAGATCACTGAAAGTTGCTACCCAGGTTGATAGCGTTGTTAAGAAGGCTTACGGTATGTTAGGTTTTATTGGTAGAGGGATTGAGTTTCGGAGCCATGAGGTCATGTTGCAGCTGTACAAAACTCTGGTGCGGCCGCACTTGGAGTATTGCGTACAGTTCTGGTCACCGCATTATAGGAAGGATGTGGAAGCATTGGAAAGGGTGCAGAGGAGATTTACCAGGATGTTGCCTGGTATGGAGGGAAGGTCTTATGAGGAAAGGCTGAGGGACTTGAGGCTGTTTTCGTTACAGAGAAGAAGGTTAAGAGGTGACTTAATAGAGACATACAAGATGATCAGAGGATTAGATAGGGTGGACAGTGGGAGCCTTTTTCCTCGGATGGTGATGGCTAGCACGAGGGGACATAGCTTTAAATTGAGGGGTGATAGATATAGGACAGATGTCAGAGGTAGGTTCTTTACTCAGAGAGTAGTAAGGGCGTGGAATGCCCTGCCTGCAAAAGTAGTAGACTTGCCAACTTTAAGGGCATTTAAATGGTCATTGAATAAACATATGGATGATAATGGAATAGTGTAGGTTAGATGGGCTTCAGATTGGTTTCACAGGTCGGCGCAACATCGAGGGCCGAAGGGCCTGTACTGCGCTGTAATGTTCTATGTTCTATGAGTTGAGGGGTTTAGGGAGTGACTTCCCAGCATGGGATCTGACCCTGCAGTCAATGATGGAGCACAAAGGCTGGGCAAATAAGTGGAGGAGCGGAGGGACCTTGAGGGATTACAGGGACAGAACTTATTAAAACCTACCTTTTTGACCAAGTTTTTGATTATCTGACCTAACACCTCAGTGTTGGGTCCTGGTGTGGCTCCGTATAACCCTGACGCTCCTATGAAATTCCTTAGGAACACCTCATTGCATTAGAGGTGCCATGTAACAGGAGTTGTTGTTGTGGAGAGATGACAAGGCCAAAGAGGGATTAGAAATGAAGGACGAGAATTTGAAAAGTGGGGTGCGACTTAAATTGGGAACCTCAGGAGATGTGCAAGCAGGGGAGATGATGAGTGAGCATTGCTTGGGTGTGAATGAGGTCATGAGCGGCAGAATTTTAGATAGGATCATGCAGCATACAACATGTGAGGGTCTGGTCAGATGTACAGCATGCAAACAGACCCATTCGGTCCAACTTGTCTATACTGACCAGATCCTAAATTAATCTAGTTCCATTTGCCAGCATTTGACCATTATCGCTCGAAACCCTTCCTATTCATGTACCCATGTACGTGCCTTTTAAATGCTGTAACTGTACTCAACTCTGCCACTTCCTCTGGCAGTGCATTCCATACATGCACCACCCTCTGCATGAAAAAGCTGCCCCTCCAGTCTTCTTTAAATCTTTCTCCTCTCAAATTAAACCTATGCCCTCTAGTTTTGGACTCCCCCCACCCTGGAGAAAAGACCTTGTCTATTCTCCCTATCCATGCCCCTCATGATTTTATAAACCTCTATAAGGTCACCCCTCAGCCTCCGACACTCCAGGGAAAATAGCCCCAGCTTATTCACCCCACCCTATAGCTCAAACCCTACCAAGGGGCACGGATGAGATATAAACACGAGGATCCTGTGCCGTAAATAAACTCCCTTTTATTGATGTGGAACAAAGAGTTACACATACACAAAGAGTAGATGGAGATGTAGAGGTAACGTCATTAGATAAATAATCCAGAACCTCAGGATTATATTCTGGGGAAATCTGTCTGAATATCACCATAATAGTTGGTAAAATTTTAATTTGATCAAAAGAGTGGAATTAAAAGCTTGTATAATGTCGATGATCTAACCCATTGGCTTCATTCATGTACATCAGGGAGGGATATCTGCTGTCATTATATGGTTTGGACTATATGTGATTCCAGACCCCCAGCCAATGTAGTCACCTTTCAACTGCCCCCCTGAAATGGCCAAGCAACATTCCAGGGCAATTACGGATATGCAATAAATTCTAGCCTCACCAGCATTCATTGTGCGAATGAATAAAACATATATTCACACTCAATTTCATAGAATCCCTACAATGTGGAAACAGGCCCTTCAGCCCAACAAATCCATGCCAACCCTTGGAGCATCTCACCCAGACCCATTCCCCCTATAACCCTAATCTACAGACCCCTGAACACTACAGGCACTTTCCCATGGCTAATCCACCTAAACCTGCACATCTTCGGATTGTGGGAGGAAACCAGAGCACCCGGAGGAAACCCACGCAGACACAGGGAGAATGTGCAAACTCCACACAGACAGTCGCCCAAGGGTGGCCATCGAACCTGGGTCTCTGGCACTGTGAGGCAGCAGTGCTAACCACTGAGCCACCGTGCTGCCCTAAATTATTCAAAAGCACATAGAAACATATATAAAGGCTGCAATAATCAATCTGGAAAGTTCGTTTTATACAAAGAATAAGGTATGACATCCTGAACAGCAAAACTACTGTCAATACATTCATCCGAGTATATTAATCAGAGGAGAAAAGTTATTCCAATCTATAAATATTGCAGCATTTATATTAACATGCACTCATTATACACTTTTTATACCAAGGGCTTTCTGTGGTAGCTCTAGCCTAACGAAGAGAACAGAGCGCTAAGACAGACGAAAATAGAGAAATGTTTTATTTCTGCTATCTGCGCAGTTAAAGTTTGGATGGAGGGTCTGGGAGGCTCATCAGGAACTAACAAGAGGTTGAGGTCCCTCTGAACACAGAGCTTCAGTAATACCCCAAAGACAGAGTGCTGGTTACATTGCCCTTGATCTAACGTGCTGTTGCAACACAATCTAACCCTAAACCTTCATTGTCTAGAAATCTGATCTGATTATGTCAATGGGTTCATAAAAGCATTGCCACAAACAGCTATGTTACTGATAAAATTCACACTGGTAATTTTCCAGGACAATAAAGGCTCTTTGAAGCTCCAATAGATGCTTGTATTGAAGAGGGAGTTTAATACGGGCACGATGTTTTACGAAACAGGAAATCTCACAACCTACACATTCTGAAGAGGCAAAAAGGCATAAAAAGTCTAGAACAAAAAGCTGCTCTAATATTGACACAGTAACAATTGTCATTAGAACTCATCTAGTTCACTAACTTCCTTTAGGGAAGGAAATCTACCCAGTCTGGCCTCCTCTTCACTTCAGACCCACAGCAATGTGGTTGACTCTCAACTGCCCTCTGAAATGGCCCAAGAAGCCGTTGAGTTCAAGGGCAATTAAGGATATGCAATGAACACTGGCCTCCTCTAAAGGGGAGGAGTGTGGGTTTGCTTTTGTCGAAATTAGTTTCACTCAGAATTTTGTCTTGGGGAACATTGTTCTGAACAGAGTAGCCTTCATCTCTGATCTGTGGGTTTTGTGTTGATCACAGGCCAACAGAAGTCTATTGTACGTGCTGCCAGGAACGGTATCTGTATAAAGTGTACTTAGGCGACTTGATTCGAGACTAGAGATGGAGACCCACTGTGTGAAACTGACACGAAAGGGGCAATTTCAATCAGGGAAGGGGAAATTAATATCATATCATGGAGCAATGGATACTCTCCAGAGACGTGGTATTTGGTTTTGGACAGGAGGGGTCACATCTGGAACAAATCCCAAAATTATCCCTGAAAACTTGACCCAAATGTGTTGTTACTTCCAAGCACCTTCCTGCTTAGACCTAGAGTGAAATATTCTGTAGACCCTATCTTTAGCCTTAACATGAAGCTGTCCCCTCTCAGCCACTCAGAAAGCCCTTCTCATGACTTATTCTTACAATGCTTCACTGTTTGCCAGCCACTCCAAACAGGATGAAAATTATGTCAATACAGTGGGGAGCTGGAGGAACACAGTAGGTCAGGCAGCATCGGAGGGGCAGGAAAGTTTCGGGTTTACGGTCCTGATGAAGAGTGTAAACCCGAAACTTTCCTGCTCCTCTGAAGCTGCCTGACCTGCTGTGTTCCTCCAGCTCCCCACTGTATTGACTCTGACTCCAGCATCTGCAGTTCTTGCTATCTCCTAGGATAAAAATTACATCAGGAGTGAACACACTTTTTAAACGGAAGTGCCTAGCAATGTGTAAATGATTATGCTGAGCAGGTATGGGGCCCAGGATGACGTGATAAGAATGTAACAGGAGCAAGAGTAGTCCCATGGGGTGCTCAGCAGATTTCCAATTGATTGCATTGTCCCATCACAGGGAGCTGTTTTATGAAGAGTGGTTGCAGCTGGGCCAACCATTTTGCCCTCCAGTTGGGTTACTTGCTATTTTCCCAGGCTTTCCTGAGCTTGAGCTGAACTTTAAACTTTTCTGGTTGTAGGACAATCCCAAAGTTTCCTTTCAAAGTTGGCAGGGGATAACCCGGAGGAACGTTGATAGTGAAGCGCTGAAGAAACCAAGATATGAAGAGGAAGAGTTCCATCCTGGCCAGGATCTCTCCAAGACAAGACCTGGCTCCGGCACCAAAAGGGATGTAGCTCGTGGAAGGCGAGTAAATGTGTTTCCCATCTTTATCCAGGAACCGGCCTAGAATAGAGAATAAAAGTTTTTTTTTAAGTTTGATAATCATTATGATAGAGAAAGAGACCATTCAGCCCACTGTATCCAAACCAGCCCCTGCAGAACCATCCCCACTCCCCATAAATCCCTTGCAAGTTTATTTCACTCAAGCGTTCATTCAATTTCCTCTTGAAAGGATTGACGGTCTTCACTCCAATGATTTGCATATGCAACAAGCTCCAGACCATAACCCCCATGTGTAAAAAGACTCTCCTTTTTATCTAGTGGGAAGTTGATGTAGCGTTGGTAGGAAGAACACCTCATATTTTGCCCTGGGAGCTTACAGCCCAATGGCCTGAATATTGACTTCACCAGCTTCAAAATCTCTCCACCCCCATCCTGTCCATCTTCCTACTCACCTATCCACTCCATCCTTCCCATTGACCAACCACAATAACTCTCATACCTACATCCACCTATCTCCATCCCACCTACCCTCCCCCCAGCCCCAACTCCCACCCTCTATTTATTTCTGGGACCCCTCCCCCTCCCCCTCCCCCTCCCAAGTCCTGATGAATGGTTTTGGCCCAAAACCTTGCTTTTCCTGCTCCACAGATGCTGTCTTTTCCAGCTCCACATTTATTGACTCTAGCTTCCAGCATTTGCAGTCTCCTGGATGAAATGAATCCCAGGCTGCTGAGTGAGGCAAGGGAGGAAATAGCAGTGGCATTGGCAATAATTTTCAATTCTTCTCTGGCCACAGAAGTGCCAGAGGACTAAGGACAGCCAATGTCGTACTGTTAATCAAGAAGGGAACAAGGGATAAACCAGGAAAGTACGGGCCAGTCAGCCTAACCCCAGTGGTGAGCAAACTATTGGGAGCAATTCCGAGGGAAAGAATTAATCTGCACTCGGAGAGACGGGCATTAAAGAAGAACTGTGAACACAGTCTTGTTAACAGGGAGGGCATATCTAACCAACTTGACTGAATTTTTCAAAAGGTGACCAGTTGTGTAGAGGAGGGCAATGCATTCCACGTAGTCTACTTGGATTTCAGCGAGGTTTTTGAGAACTTCCCACACGGCAGATTGACAGCGAAGTAAGAGCCCAAGGGATAGCTATACATTTGGTTAATCGAATCCAGAATTGGCCGAGTGGCAGAAAGCAGAGGGTGATGGTAGAGGGGTAGAGCATGACTGAAAGCCTGTGAGTATGTCTGCAGGGATAAGTGTTTGGGCTTTTGCTGCTTTTGGTATATAGAAACGGTTTACACTAGAATTTATCAGTAAGTTTTGTGGATGACGTGACAATTGGTAGGGTGGTAGACATTGAGGATAGCCTTAGATAACGGGAGGATATGGATGGGCTGATCCATGGCAAATGAAATTCAATCTGGATAAGTGTGGTGTGATGCATTTGGGCAGGACAAACAAGGCAAGGAAACACATGAGACACGCTAGGATTCTGTAGGGAGGACATGATTGAGATGTATAAATTGATGAGGGGCTTAGGTAGGGTAGACAGGAAAGACGTTTTCGCTCTTGGCAGAAGGATCAATGACCAGGGAAATTTAATGGAAGGGGCAAGAGATTTAAAGGGGATGTGAGGAAAGATGTTTTCATCCAGAGGGAGGACATGAAGTGAAAGGTAAGGCTGAGGCATTTTCAACAATCTTCAGAAATGCCAAGTGGATGGTCCATCTTGACCTCCTCCAGAGGTCCCCAGCACCACACATGCCAGTCTTCAGTCAATTCGATTCACTCCACATAAAATCGAGAAATGGTTGAAGGTACTGGATACCACAAAAGCTACGGGCTCTGCCAACATTCCAGCAATAGTACTGAAGTGTGTTCCCCTAGCCAAGCTGTTCCAGCACAGTTACAACATTGGCATCTACCTGACAATGTGAAAAATTGCCCAGGTGCGTCCTGTATACAAAAGCAGGACAAAGCCAACCCAGCCAATTATCATCCCATCAATGTCCTCTCGATCATCAGTAAAGTGTTGGAAGGTGTCAGTAACAGCGCTATCACACAGCACCTGCTCAGCAATAACCTGCTCAGTGACGCCCAGTTTGGGTTCTGCCAGGGCCACTCAGCTCCTGACCTTATTACAGCCTTGGTTCAAACATGGATAAAAGAGCTGAATTCCAGAGGTGAGGTGAGAATGACAGCCCTTGATATCAAGGCTGCATTCGACCAAGTGTGGCATTGCGGAGTCCTAACAAGACTGGAATCAATGGGAATTATGGGAAAAGATTTTGCTGGAGGCATAAGGATGTGAGGCAAAAAGGAGGTGGTCACTGGACAAGGAAAGAAATAAAAGGTCGGTCCAGCAGAAAATAGAAACAGCAGAATTATTGCCTCACTTGTTCAAAAAAAAAAGGGAGCAGTGATTCAGATCGGAGATGATAGAACTTGATGCTTCTTTCTTCTGGGGTTTGCCAGTAAGATCAGCATTTGCTGCCCAATGCTAATGGGCAGGACAAACAGAGTGGCTTGTGGAGTTATTTCCAAGGGCAGGTGAGAGTCAGCTACATTGCTGTGGCCCCAGAGTCACATGTAGGCCAACCCAGGAAAAGACAACAAAAAATGTCCTAAAGGAGGTTAGTGAAATGAATGGCCTTTTACCAACAATCACATGATGCTATCACTGAGGCTAGCTTCCAATTGCTGGCTCATTCATTGAATATTATTTCTAGCTGAACCCACATGTTGAGAGCATTAACCTGGATCTTTGGATCATTACTCCGAGATCACCCTCTCCCACAAAGTTGTAATGTTACAAAGCTCTCACCTGGATCAAAGGCATCTGGATTTTCCCATTCCTGTTCATTGTGATGAATAGCCCAGAGGTTGATGATGACACGAGTACCTTTGGGGACTGTGTATTCACCAATACTAGAAATCAAGAGATTGCAATTGGTGTTAAAATTCTACCTTAAAGGCTGAGAATTTTGTTTCAAATGACAGCCTATTGGAAAGAACAGGAGAAAGACTTGCAGTGACATAGTGCCTTTGACAACGTTGGCATCTCCCAGCTTGTTTTACAGACAATGAAGTACTTTTGAACCGGTGCCACTGTTGTCATGTAGGAAACACAGCAGGCAGTTTCTGCATAGCAAGCTCCCACAAGCAGCAATGGGATAAACCATCAGCTAACCTGCTCTCTATTGATGTTAGTTGAGAGATTAGTCTTGGCCGAGCCGTCCTGTTCTTCTTTGAATTGTGTTAAGGGAACATTTATATTTACCTAAGACAGCCAATTGGACCTGGGTTTTATCTAAAAGAAATGTTTCTGTCAATAAGTAAAGTCACCATAGTTCTACTGGACCATAGCTGCATGCTCTAATTAGAGAGAGAAACCTGAGGGTCACCACACCTCAGATGAGGGACAAGGTTGAGAAGGAGAATCCTACATGGTAACCTCAACTGAAGCAGGAACTGAACTCACCGCTGGTATCACTGCATCAAAACTGCACTGGATTAGATGCTCAAGTCTTTGGGATGGGATCTCAATTTAGAACTGTCTGTCTCAGAGGTTACTTATCATGATGAAAGGTGTATGATTTCTATCCATATGTAAATGCCATTTTCATAATTTCATTTCAAAATAGTAACCAATAGATATTGGTCACTTTTGTGAAAGTTTTCTTTTAACAAAAAGGTCAGCAAGTTCTTCTGGAACAGTGACCTAAACTCAGCATTTGTCTGTGCAGTTAACAAAAATATTTATAATATTGTGTTTGCAACAGGTAGAATTAACATTAAGTTTGGTTTACTTTCCTCGTGCAATACATCCCTTTTCTTGAACTATATTTTGGCTTTCAGAATACAGGGCTCCCTGATTTATGGACGTCTGACTTACAAACATGATCTCATACAGGGTGTAATTTTAAAGATCCGAAATGCAAGCACTGCCTGTACCTATAAAAGGCTCCTTTATATTGTCTTGCATTGCGTTCTGACTTGCATACAAATCAACTTGTGAACAGAACCCATTTGCAACCCAGGGAATTGCCTGGATATCAGGCATGAACATTACTGATATTTAGAAGTGTCCAACTGTCCAGGCATGTAGCTTTATAAAATCAATTTTGGAAGTTAAAGAATTACTGAAGAGATTTAAACATGTGGGAAACATCAGAATAATGAACATATACGCCAAATTAATTGGACTTGCATGGATAGATTGGTAAAACTGAGGCTGTTCTCAGTGAAGAGAAAGTTGAGAGGTGTTTGATAGAGATGTTCACAATCATGAAGAGGCTGGACACAGCAGATAGGGAGGTGGAAGGTAAAGAAGCAGGGACAAGATGAACAAAGATGTTTTACACAATAACTGTTTAGGATCTGAAATGCATTGCCTAACACTATATGGATACATATTCAATTGTAGATTTCAAAGGAGAATTGGATAACTTTTGGAAGAGAAAATATTTGCAGGGCTACAGTAAAAAGGTGAGGGGTTTAGATGAGCTGAATTCCTCTTATAGAAAGCTAGCATTAGCACATTTGTTTTGACTGGTCTCCTTTCGCATCATAACCATTGTACAATTCTAATTGGCAGAATGTGACCAGTGGTAACCCAAGGATCAGTGCTAGAACCTTCGTGTTTTGCATTTGAGTAGTGCTAAAAAAAAAAGGGGATATATTGTCACAGCTTTTCATTTTGCACTCATTAGGGAACTTTGCAAGAATACCAAACCAAATGGAAACAAAGAGTGCAGATTGGTTGGCAAGTGGATTCTGATTGGTAGAGAGTTCTCTGGAAAATGTACCAGTTACAGAATGAGTGACAGTTAACTGCCAAGCTTTGTTAAATTGGAGCCAGGCAGATGGCCCTGATTACCCTGAGGAATGAACTTGTTTTGTTGAGTTGCAAGAGGATGCAGTTCTTTCTGTTTTCATGTGTATTAATACACATGGCTTCCAGCATGCCACAAGTACACCACATTTTGTGTCTGATTGACAATCTTAATTGTGTTGTCAGTGTAATTCTTAAAGGCTGTTTTCATTTTACATTGGTATTTCTTGTGAATTACGCTGATAAGAGCAAGATGAAAAGAAGTTTCTTTTAGCAGTACTCACATTCTGTATGATCAAATGACTGTTTGCTACAATTCCTCAATGGTTAACATGAAGGAACCTCTCTCTTTATCTCTCGCTCTCTCTTGTCCCGTGTATTGTCCTCACTGTCCTCATCGTAGCTTATGCTATGCTGTACAGGGCAAGGTGAGGAGGCTAACTCCTAGTAGAGAGTCTGTGCTGTTGGCACTATTCTGCTACACATTTCCTGCCTGCCTATATGGCTCTGAGGTGTGGACTGTCTACAACAGAACCTCAACGCACTGGAGCAACACCACCAACGCTGCGTGTCCAAGATCCTGCGAATCTGCTGGGAGGAAAAACACATCAACACCAGCGGCTTCGACCAGGCCAACATCCCCAGTATCGAGGCACTGGCCGCCCTCGATCGGCTATGATGGGCTGAGCGTGACCAAAACAAGCCTTCCCGAGCAGGAGCTCTACTCCCAGCTTCGAAATGGCAGGTGAGCCCCAAGTGTAGACAGAGGAAGCACTTCAGTGATACCCTCAAGGCCTCACCGGTGAGGTGCGGCATTCCCATAGACACCTGGGAATCACTGACCCGGGACCATTCAAAGTGGAGGAGGGGCATCCGGGAAGGTGTCGAGAACCTCGAGACTTGCTGTTGGGAAAAAGCAGAAGCCGGGCATGAACAGCGAAAGGAGCGCGCTGCCACACCCACCCCTTCCCGGGACCATCTTCTTCCCCAAGTATAACAGCGCCTACAATAGGCACAGTGGTCCATACAGCCATCTACAGACTCACTCTGAGGGTGGAGGAGAGTCACCCTCGCCTGCGAGGGACTGCCGATGATGATGATAATGGTGCTATGCATTCTAGCCGTCCAGCCACCTGTGCTAACAAACCTCCCACCCCCATATAAAGGAATGCAGCATGCATGTATGGGAATATCTGAGTATGTAAAATGTCACCCAAGTTTACTGCACATCTGATAGCGAAATCAGTCGGGAGCGACGTCAGGAAGTAGTTCTTCACTCATAACAAAATGGGACTCTCCTTCAAAAACTGTATGGGCTGTGGCTCAAGTGAAAAATTTAAAAACTGAGATTGATATTTTTCGTAGTTAGGGGCTTTCAGGGATATGAAGCCAACCAGAATAATTCATTTAAGTTTAATTTTTCATGTTAACCGTTGAGGAATTGTAGCAAACAAACAAACAGTCATTTGATCATACAGAATGGGAGTCCTGCTAAAAGAAACTTTTTTTCATCTTGCACTCATCAGGGTAATTCACAAGAAATACCAATGTAAAATGGAAGCAACCTTACAGATCAGCAAGGATCTAATTGAATGATAGGACATATTCAAGGGGCTGAGTGGCATTCTTCTGTTCCTATGTTCCCAGTGAAGAACTGGAGAGACGTTTGAGATAACAAGGTGTAGAGCTGGATGAACATAGCAGGCCAAGCAGCATCAGAGGAGCAGGAAGGCCGATGTTTTGGGCTTAGACCCTTCTTTCAGAGATGTTTACCTGGAGTCTGCCAGAGCCACATGTGGAAGTAGGAGAGGTGAGACTGGCTGGATCCGTAAGATTTCGCTGATAGTTGCATTGAGAAAGTGCATGTTTCTTCTATCACTCAGTTGAGGAGTCCTGTTTAATCCAACTTTGCTATCAATTTCTTCTTGTATTTTTTTCTGTACCTGTGGTGTAAACAATGGGCCACATTGTTCAGCTATCTTACTGGTTTAAATACCAAGTGACTGAAAAAGCGACCAAACAGTACCTTTCACAAGGTATCCTTTCATGTTTTTTAGTTATAGTGAAGGACTTCTGAAGTAGGCAACTATTAGGAGACAACATATTCCTCAAATCACTGCCATGGGAAACATGAGAATGTGTGTGTGTACACATCTGCCTGTTATTTGTGATTGTACATATAATTGTGTGCATGTGAGTCTGTCTGTACATGACTGTACTTGTGTTTGTGTGTATCTGTGTGCATGTCTGTGGATCTGTCTGTAGATGACTAGTGTGTACATCGTGTGTGTGTCTGTGGGTGACTGTATATGTGGATGACTGTACTTGTGGTATGAGTGTCTGTGCCTGTATATGTAGTTGTATGAATATGTGTCTGTCTGTAGGTGCCTATTTGTGCATCTGTTTGTTTGTCAGCGTGGGTGCGTGTCAGTGAGTATGTGTATCTTTGTGTGAATGTGAGGGTACACTAGTGCATGTTTCAGTGTTTGTGTGTGAGTTTCTATACATGGTTGTGCTTTGTATATGAGTGCATATAGTAAAGTTAAGAAGGGCTAATTTTACAGTGAATGTATGGGGATAAACAAATCCAGATTAAAATACATTTCACTTTGCTTAAAAGAAACACACTTCCAAAAGAAACCATATCCAAAATGTAATTCGCTGAAGCAGCTTCCCATTATGGCCACTTGTTAAGAAATTTCGCAGCAGTGTTAAAGGGAGCTGCAAAGGGAGACATCTATTCTGTGCTAATGTTCCAAAATGAATTTTTCTCCAGTTTTCTTCAATTAGCCCTGTAAATCCTAATATTAACATGTAATTGTGATTGTGGAGGCTACCCAAACTTTACATTGACCTGACCATCCACTGGGAGATCTGTAACTCTCTAATCCCTGTTGCATACTTAAATTAGAGTATTTGTTAAAATTCACAGGATGAGGGCATTGCTGGCTAGGCAGCATTTATTGCCCATCCCTAATTGCCCAGAAGGCAGTTAAGAGTCAACCACATTGCTGTGGGTCTAGAGTCACATGTAGGCCCAGACCAGGTAAGGATGGCAGTTTCCTTCCCTAAAGGACATTAGTGAACCAGATGGGGCTTTCCAACAATTGACAATGGATTCACCGTCATCATTAGACTCTCAATTGCATATATTTTATTGAATTCAAATTTCACCATCTGCCCTGGCAGGATTCGAACCCCGGGTCCGCAGAACATTATCTGGTTCTCTGGATTAATAGTCCAGCAATAATACCACTAGGCCATCGCCTCGCCGTTTATTTTACCTCAGGACAGTGAAGCAGGTAAATAATTGTCCATGCGAGGGTTATAGATGTGGTCTCCACCCCCGCTCCAAAAATATCTGCCACGGTCATTTGCAGATGGTCATCTGTCAGTCTTTCCTCATACTTGGAGCTGTTATTATTCTCTGCATTCATCTTGGCTTTGATCAAAACATCAAGCAAGTCCTTTATAGAGTCACTGCTGTAATTCGCCTGGAAAGTGGTTTGGAGCAGAGAAAGAGATCACGTAAGTGATTGGCTGTTCATAAAAGAGCCCCCTGGATATGTACAGATTGTGGACGGACCTTGATTTGATTTTTACATTCAACACGGAGCAAGAGTAAAAGCCGAGGTCCTGCAGAAGTGGACAGAGAAAAGCTTCAATGTGGCTCTGCTGTATCAAAGGATGGAGCCATGAGGAAAACTTTGGACTTATTTTAGTCAAAAGAGCTGAATGCATGAGGAGAGCTTTACACGGTAGACAAACACATTTACACTCGAGAACTGCTTCAAGTTAAACCCAAATTCCAGAGCAAGGACATACAGGTATAATCAGGGGGTGGTGCGTGTGTGTAATAAGCTGCTAGAGGAGGCGGGTACAATTACAACATGTAAATGGTATCTGGATGAGTTCATGAATAGGAAGGGTTTATAAGGATATGGACCAAATGCAGGCAAGCGGGACTAGATTAATTTAGGATAATCCGGTTGGCATGGATGAGTTAGACCAAAGGGTCTGTGTCCCTGTTGTGCATCTCCATGACTAAGGAGTTCAATGAAACATGAAAACTGATAGCATTTCCTCTATCACACCAGGATGAATACCTGGTGATATTATGGAGAAAGCCATTTCAAGGTCAGATCAATGCCTTATTTTGCGATCACTGGGATGAATTGGATGCAAAGGGAGCTTGTAGAGAAACACAGCGGAGAAAGCCAAAGGGTTTGTGTGCTCCAGGGGTCCTAAATCCAAGCCACTAAACCTGGTGAATGGGGTATAATACAATAACAATATAAAATCATCCTGGTTCTGTTGTCGCATTAGGGAGAGATGACTAGTGGTGAGTTTAACCTGATGGTGACCATGCCTCAGGTAAGGTTGAGGGCGGGACCTTTACACAGACCTCAGCTGGTACCACGAATTGAACCCATGCAATTGGTGGCACCTTTCATTGTAAAACCAGCTGTCTAGCCAACTGAACTATAGGGTTCCCATTAGAATGGAATATATTCATTGGGTAAGCAGCATGGTGAGAAACAAAGCCTTGGGAATGACCATGTTCACTTCCTGCCCTTGGAGGGGGGTGGAAAAAGGTGTTTCACACTGTAACCTGTATAAAGAAAATTAATCAACTCTTTCAGTTGTGTTATGATACACCTCCTTGGCAGGGAGACTTGATTCTAATCGTCTGGGAGGAGCACTACCACCAACCAATAAGAATGCTTGTACACATTGTGGAATGATGCCAAGGGACACAAATTAATATCGGTAAGAAAATGTGAAGTGAGTTACCAAGTCCCGTTAGCTAACAGAATGCTCTTCCCTTGATGAAGACAGTGTCTTCATGAATCAGAGATAACAGTCTGGAGCTGGAAAAACACAGCAGGCCAGGCAACATCAGAGGAGCAGGAAAGCTGACATTTCAGGTCGTGACCCTTCTTCAGAAATGGAGTAACCCTCCTCAATTTGATTCAAAACGTTAACTCTGATTTCTTTCCACAGATGCTTCCAGACCTGCTGGGCTTTTCCAGCAACTTCTGTTTTTGTTTCTGATTTACAGCATCCGCAGTTCTTTCAGGTTTTATTTCTTAACTATTCTACTCCCATTTCCCAGCACGTGGCCCATAGCCTTGTATGCCTTGGCATCGCAAGTGCGCATCTAAATACTTCTTAAATGTTATGAAAGCTCTTGCCTCTATCTCTTACAGGTAGTGAGTTCCAGATTCCCACCACGCTCTCCTTACATCCCTATTGAAACTTTGGAATGCAGCTATTGTATTTTACAACCCCACCCTCCCACCAATGGGACAGGGAAGGAGGGTTGGTTTACAATTCTGCACCCGTTGACCATTGCTGACCGATACGCAAACACGCGCCACATGCAATAGCACACGTCCACTCAACTACTGCCATTACATCAGTGAGATGGAGGTTTACGCTCTACAGCAAAGTACCTTGTGGTCTTCAAATTTCTTCTGAAGGATACTGTCTCGAGCTGCAATGCTTCGTTTCAGAAGGTGGAGATCTTCATTGGGAAATAACTGTAAAGGAATTAACAGACAGACACGCTGTGATAGAGATTACCACAGGATCTGCAATTAGACATTAATGATTTACAGTCACAGTTACTCGCATCCTATCCATAATCACAGTTGCCAAACATTGTCCACCATCAAAGATTATTTCAATTAGGGTCTAAATAGTCTAAGAAGTTATAAATAGAAGTTGCAATTCAGAACGAAGTACCTGCAACCAGGGAAAGATGTCCACTAATGTATCCTTTCCGACAGTATTCACAATGCCTTGGCTGTACTCCAGCATCTTCTGAAACTCTGGATCTTCTTTCTCATACTTGGAGTTGAAGCACAACATGCAGGTGACATTGGTGATGACTCGGGTCACCTCAGGTATTATATCCAACGGTGAGTCAAGGTAATGTTCAAACATACTGCACATCGATTGCACTTCTTTGCAAACTGCTCACCACCAATCCAAAAAAGAGAAAAATGGTCACTTGAGCCAGCACTGCCATAACATGAGATAACGTTTTCGGAATGAAGCAAGGTAGAAATTTGGTTTTTCACCTTATTGCTTCAAAACCAAAAGGAGAAGAAACAAAAGGCAATCCTATTGGAGAGAACAGCGAAACTTCAAGTTGGCTTTCCTCTTGGTTCCTGTTTGTTTCCTCTCTTGTTCACCTTCATTCCTGGTTACATCCTCATGAAGGATCTATCTCCTCACTTATTTCTTCACCCTCATGGCTCTCCACACTAAGAATCATAGAATCCCTACTGTGTGGAAGCAGGCCATTCAGCTCATCGAGTTCTGCACAGACCCTCCAAACAGCATCCCACTAAGACCCACTCCCCCCATCCCATCCCTGTAACCTTGCATTTCCCATGGTTAATCCACCTAGCCTGCACATCCCTGAACAGTGTGGACAGTTTAATATGGCCAATCCACCTGACTTGGTGCGTCTTGGATTTTGTTAACTGCTTATCATATGAACATTCGTTCCCTGGCTGACAAGTTCAGAAGTAGCTCTTAAAACACTGTGCCTTCTGCTTCAGAGGGCCAGTCATGCTGCCAAGAGAGTGACTCTGCCAGTCTCCTGTGCCCTAAAGTCACACCAGAAATGAATGGTTTTACAACTTTCTGCAAAACTAATTTCATTCTGCTTGGGGCTGCTGTATCAAACTGTTCTACACCGTCACCTTTTGCTTCCAAACTCGTAAAGATATTGCCAATTCATCAGGTCCGTTGTGCTGGTGTTGTTTATTTATTTTCTGGTATTTCAGGCCAGTTGGTTGTTATTCACACATGAAACTATGTAGCAAAGCAGGAGCAGCAAGCAGTTCACTTGCACCTTATCACAGGGTGGTAATGACCTAGTGGTATTATCGCTAGACTATTAATCCACAGACCCTAATGTTCTGGGGACTCGGGTTCAAATCCTGCCATGGGCAGATGGTGGAATTTGAATTCCATAATAGCTTGGAATTATGTATCTGATGATGAGCTGCTCTTCCTCACAGTGATGAGGACTCAACTGCCTTCTGGATAATAAATGTTGGCCTAGACAGTGATCCCATGAATGAATTTTTTATTTTTTAAAAAACACTCACTTGCAGCTGTGGATAATGCAAATGAGCAGGAGCACTGCCTAAGTTTCTCTAATTCAAGCAAACGTAGGACGGTTCAAATTTCATGATTGGCATACATCATCATCACTCTGGGCAATAATACATTCATTTAATTGCAATTAATTTCCATTAACTTTTTGCCTTTCTGTTACAGTGCCCTACCAAAGACTGTCTACTCCACTTAATGTTTTTTTAAAAAGTGTAGACTTGATTAAGCCAACTCCACTGACTCAATGACATCAAGAAACTTGCTTGTGTCAGTGAACACATCGCTCACTGTCAAACATATTGCACCATCAGGGGAGTCTGAAGGAATTTCTGGTGCACAACTGTTGCACATACTCACTCATTCTCTCTAAAGATGCAGATCCATCACCAAACAGGTATATAGCTGAATGAACAAGCTTCCTGTGAAACTTCCAGCTGGGGCTGTAGTCTCCAAATGCAATATCTTTCCCACCTCTGGAGAGCAGGTTGGTAGTCACCTGAACAGAGAAAAGATATTATTGGTTTGCTGTAACATTTAAACATTGCATTGTAATGATCCTGGGAGAGTCGAGGGTTGTGATGGGTTGTCAAAAGTAAAAAAAGTGTACCTCATGAGCTGTAAGAGGAGGAGAAACGGGAGATAGAAGGAGTTAGAAGGTTCTGTGACATTGTAAAGGGATAATGTCATCACAGTCTTACCAGATCAGTAGGTCGATTAGGAAGAGGCAGTATGGATTTCTGAAGGGGAAATTGTGTTAAACTAACCTGCTGTAGGATTTCTGAAGAGGTAACAAAGGCCCCATGGTAACACTGTTGGTGGTGTACATGGATTTTCAGGTGAGGTTGTTGACTTGCTCGCCGAGCTGACTTGTTCTCGTTCAGATGTTTCATCACCATGCTAGGTAACATCATCAGTGGAGCCTCCGATGAAACGACGTTATTCTACTCCGCTCAGAATTTATACTGTCCGGTCCGTTATGGTGAGTAGTGTCATTTCCGGTTTTGATCTGTATGGGTTTGTATATGAGGTCCAATTCTATGTGTTTGTTGATTGCATGTCTCTAGGAATTCCCATGCGTGTTTATGTTTGGCTTGGGCTACTACGGTTACCTCGTCCCACTTGTCCAAAGTTACTTTGTCCAAACGTAAACACGCACGGAATTCCTAGAGGCATGGTTCTCCACCCGTATTGCAGTCAACAAACATATAGAATTGGACCCCATATACAAACCCATACAGATCAAAACCGGAAATGACAATACTCACCATAACGGACCGGACAGTATAAATTCCCAGCGGAATAGAATAACATTGCTTATCGGAGGCTCCACTGATGATGTTACCTAGCATGGTGACAAAACGTCTGAACAAAAACAAGCCAGCTCGGCGAGCAAGTCAACAACCTCACCCACAACCCGAGCTGCAGATCTTTGCCAAAACTTTGAATGGATTTTCAGGTGTTTGATACAGTGACACTCAACAGACTCGTGAGGAAGTTATAGCTCATGAAATAAAAGGATAAGCAGCTACATGAACAGAAAATTGGCTGAGTGATATGAAACAGAGAGCAATTAACAATGGGTATTTTTCAGGCTGGAGGAAGGTCTGTAGTGGAGTGTCACACAGTCGATATTGAGACCCTTGCTTTTCGTGGTATATATTCACAATTTAGATCTTGGTGTGTGGAGGGAAATGTCATAGTTTGCAGATGAAATGAAACCTGGAAGAATTCTAAGTTGAGAGGAGGACAGTGTAGAACTCTAGAAGGACACAAACAAGTTGGTGGAGTGGGGTGGATAGGTGACAGATGACTCTCAATGCAGAGAAATGGGAGGTAATGTATGTTGGTAGGAAGAACATTGAACGGCAGTACAAAATAGGGGGTACAACTCCAAGTGGGGTGCAGGGGCATGGGGATCTGGGTGTAGATGGGCACAGATTATTGAAAGTGGCAGGATAGGTAGAGTGAACAATAAATCAAGCATATTATGTACTTGCTTTTATTAACAGGGACACAGTAGAAGAGAAAGGAGGTGATATTGAATTTCTACAAGGTGCTTGTTAGACCTCAGCTGGAATATACTGTGTACATTTGTGGGTGGCATATTATAGGAAAATAATAATATATATTGGAGGGGGTGCACAAGCAGTTTACAAGAATGGTTCCAGGAATGACGAACTTCAGTGATGAGAATGAATTGAAGAAGTTGGGACTGTTGTCCCTGGAGAGAAGGTGGCTGAGAGGAGATCTGATAGAGTTTCCAAAGTCAGAAGCAAAAGTAGGCAGAGAGAAATGGTTTCTGCTCATTAAAGTAACAAGAACAACAAAGTGTAAAGCTAAGGTGATTTGCAAAAGTAGTGAATGGTGAAGTGAGGAAAACCCTTTTCTCTCCGCACATAGTTTGGGTCTGGAATGCGCTGCCTGAAAGTTTGGTGGAGCCAGGTTCAATTGAGGAATTCAAGAGGGCTTTGAATAACTATTTAGATAAAAGTTAGATGCAAGGGTATGAAGATAAAGCAGGAGATTGCCACTCGGTAATGAGCTGATATGGGCATAGTGAGCTGAATGGCCTCCTCCTACTCCCATTCACTTTTGAGGGAAAAGCTTGTTTCACCCAGAGGGTGATTGGGGTCTGGAATTAACTGCCTGGGAGGAGAGTTGAGGCAGGAAACCTCAACTTTTTCAAAAAGGACTTGGATAAGCACTTGAACCATCATAATATTCAAGGCTAAGGGCCTCATACAGGAAGGTGGGACTCATGTAGATAGTAGTATAGTTAGAGTCATTGAGATCTACAACACAGAAAAATGCCCTTTTGCCCATCACATCCACGCCAGTCAAAGACAACCACATAACTATTCTATGCCCTTTTTCCAGCACTTGGCCCATAGCCTTGTATGCCTCGGTATCATATCTAAACATAATCTAGATGAAGGAGCAATATTCCGAAAGCTTGTGTTTTCAAATAAACCTGTTGGGCAATAACCTGATGTCTGGCCTACATTAATACAAAATGAGACTGGTTTCAGTTTTGTTCAAATGTGTGTGTTTTTTCGATTCATTTTAGATTTAGATTTTATTGTCACGTGTACTCAACTATAGGGTACAAGAGTACAGTGAAAAGTGTACAATGTTGCCGCACATACCACCATCTTAGGTACAAAATCTTAGTTACAGAAATAGAGAAATAAGTTAAAATGTCATAGAGATATACAACATGGAACAGACCCTTTGGTCCAATTCATCCATGCTGACCAGATATCATAACTTAATCTAGTCCTGTTTACCAGCATTTGGCCCATATCCATCTAGACCCTTCCTTATTAGATTACTTTTAGAATTAGAATCAGAATCTCTCCAGTGTTGAAACAGGCTCTTCAGCCCAACAAGTCCACACTGGCCCTCAGAGTATCCCACCCAGACCCATCCTCCTACAAGTCACCTAATCTACACATCCCTGAACACTACAGGCAATTTCCCACAGCCAATCCACCTAGCCTGTGCATCTGTGGGAGGAAACCAGAGCACCCACAGGAAACCCACACAGACATGGTGAGAATGTGCAAACTCCACACAGACAGTTGCCTGAGGATGGAATTGAACCCAGGTCCCTGATGTTGGAGGCAGCAGTGCTAACCACTGAGCCACCGTGCCACCCTTCCTATTCATATACACATCAAGGTGCCTTTTAATGTTGTAATTGTACCAGCCTCCACCACTTTCTCTGGCAGCTCATTCCATACACGCACCACCCTCCACATGAAACAGTTGCCCCTTAGATCCCTTCTAAATCTTTCCCTCTCACCCTAAATCTATGCCCTCTAGGTTTTTCACTCCCTCACTCTGGGGAAAAGACCTTGTCTGTTTACCCTATCCATGTCCCTCATGATTTTATAAACCTCAATAAGGTCAGCCCTCAGCCTTCAATGCTCCAGGGAAAATAGCTCCAGCCTATTCAGCCTTTCCCTATAGCTTAAACCCTCCAACCCTGGCAACATCCTTGTTAAATCTTTTATGAACCCTTTCTAGTTTCACAACATCCTTCATATAGTAGGGAGACCAGAATTGCATGCAGTATTCCAAAAGTGGCCTCACCAATGTTCTGTAAAGCTGCAACATGACATCCCAACTCCTACACTCAATGCACTGACCAATAAAGGCAAGCGTACCAAACACCTTCTTCAACGCCCAATCTACCTTTGACTCCACTTTCAGGGAACTATGAACCTGCACTCCAAGGTCTCTTTGCTCAGCAACACTCCCCAGGACCCTACATTGAGCGCGCAAGTCCTGCCCTGATTTTCCTTTCCAAAAAACAGCACCTCATATTTATCCAAATTAAACATTAAATGGCAAACATTTCATCTTGTTCAGAGACAGAATTTTTGTGATGCTGCAAAAACTGCATCTACTGCCAACCCGGCATGGCAGTTGGAGAGAAGTATGCATCCCTTCACGAATGCTCCCTGCTTTTTTTAAAAAAAACTATTAATATTGTGTGCACTGAACACACTTCCATACAGCATCATTGGACAATAAGCCAAGGGTCAGGAGCAGGCTCCCATGGTGTGCAGTGGTAACCTCTGAACCAGAAGCTCCTGGTTTGAGTTTCAGTCCAGGACTTTGTGGCCAAGGAAGGTGCAAGGTCCATAATGCACCTGACCTGGCATCAACTTGCGAATCTTTCCAACACACGCCAATAGTTGGCCGTTAGCAACTCCTGTTCATTCATGTGATGGGAAGATATTGGAGCCTTGACCATCACTTTTCACAGTTCCAGGCTACAACATGCGTGCACATTGCTGGTGTGTCTGAGGATTAGAGTAGGGTCAGCAGCATGGGGTTCGAGTTCCCCATTCTGGCTGCAGTGCATTCAGAACTTGCCTGTCCCATGGTGGTGTGATAGGGTACACAAGAAGAGGTTCAGAAAGCATGGCAGGTGATATCTAACTACTCAACTGATCAAGAGAAGATGTCAAGGAGAACAGCCAACCTCTGATTGATCTGTGAAGTACTAATGGATGGCTGAGGCCAGAATGTGTCTTCACCAATCACTCTGCCCAATACAGACATCTCACTCTTTAGACCTCCCCAATACTTATAGGTGAGCTTTCAACTAGGCAACTGCCAGAATGATAGACTAGTAGGAGCAAATTACTGAAGATAATAGAAACTAGGAGCAGGGGTAGGCTATGTCAGATATCACACGACACCAGGTTATAGTTCAACAAATTTATTTGAAAAATCACAAGCTTTCGGAGCACTGCTCCTTTAACAGGTGAAGTGAAGGAAGAAGGTAATTCACCTGACAACGAGGCAGTGCTATGAAAGCTTGTGATTTCAAATAAACCCGCTGGACTATAACCTGTTCTGACCTTGTCCGACACCTGCACCTCCACATCATCCTAGTTTCTACGTTTCACATCAAAGAAAGGAACTGGTGGATGTGTTTATTAAGTTGGAGAAAGCAGCTTATGAGGCTCATATACAGGATTAGATCAGTTGGGCTGAACGGCCTCTTTCTGGGCTGTATGTTGTAATTGTGTTCAAAGATGAGGAGTTTGACTGGGAGGCACTGAGTGAGGGAAGAAGATACATTTTGATTGTGGAGAAACAGAGAGTAGAGAATGAATTGTTGGGAGGTTTGTGGCAGGAATTCTAAACTCACCCCAGGATTCTTTGGACCAGGTAGTTCCCTGTTCCATACCTGAATTAATTTCTCACTGTTTAACAGTCCACAGGTTCAGTCAAAAGAATGCTTAGACTTGTACCACTCATTTCTACTAACTGATAGCAGGGATATGAAGAGAGCTATCTAATCTTTCCACTGTCCATGACCCCCTCAGTCCAAACAGGACAAATGTGGGAAGGTGACAGCAGTGAGGCGATGAAAGCCTTAGCACTGACGATTTGTCAAGAAGGCAAGTGGGGAGATGATGGTGTGGAGGTGAATAGGCTGTGGTTTCTGTGTGCTGCTATAGAATGTTATTCGCACACTGCTTCCTGGTATTAATCACATACTGTGCAGCCTGGAGCGCACTTACACACAAGGACAGTCAAAGCCAGTCGGTGCAGGTAGACACCCAAAGGAGACAGAGGGCTAGCGAGAGAGAGAGAGAGAGAGAGAGATGGGGGCAATAGAAGGCTCAAGAGGAGGCTCCCGGACAAGATTCAAGGGCTAGTAGCGCCGAATGTCCTGTTCCTCGGGATTTTGCAGAGTAAAACGAGAAGCCTTAGCAAATCCAGAAGTGGTGAGTTTAGGCATATTGAAGGTTTGGGGCTGTGCTTCTGAATGTCAATGAGGACAGTCAAAGTCACCACAAGACAATAAGCGAACAGGTCCCGTTACTTTCCTATTTTACCGCAGGTTAAATTCAACAGGAGCCAGTCGATTTTTTTTTGCCGAGGAACAGTATGCAAAAACACAACCCAAACTCTTTAAACAAGACAACCATCGCGTACCTGCAAATTAATTTCGTTACACATCGGAGATTGCCTGTGACATTAAAAGCAATAAATCACTGAATAGTCTGAACGATGCAAATGCAAAAATAATATTCTCGTTCGAAAAGCTTACCATATTGGGTCTCCCCGCAAAGATTCTGCCCTTTTTCAGCAGGACTTCCTTAGCATATTCGTAGTTGTTGATCACCAGCACATAATGGGAGCCTAGCATGAAGGAAAACATGCTCCCATATGATTTCTGGAGTTTCTGGAACAGAAGGTGAGGTGGTAGATCACTTCTCAAACTCAGCAAACTCCCGATCAGTGGCCACGATGGCAAACTCTTCGGGGTCTTGCCTGCATTCCGCCTGGCCCGAGCGATTTGGGTCAAAGTGAAGATCAACAAGGCCACGCTGAGAATGAGGACAGCTGCTAGCAGGTTCATTGTGAAGCTGCGCTTCCCTGCAATAGATCCGAGGGGGATAGGGCGCAGCCTTTTTATGTGCCGCGCACTTCATATCGCTGGTGAGATAATTCCTCTGCTTTGCGAAATAATTCTCAACTCAGCACATTTTTCATCTTGCCCCCACCCCACCACTTCAGCCAATCCCATTTCCCCCAGACCCTAAGATTCTACCATTCTCATACCCCTACACCCCACCTCAGCCA